GCACGGGGCGGGGCGTGGTGCGGGCGGCGCGGGCTGATCCCAGCGCCTGTGCCCTCCGACAGTCTGCGGGAGGCGCGGCGCACGTCTGAGCACATCGCACCACGGATGCGCCGACCCCTCCCTCGCCCCCTCGACCCCTCCCTCGACCCCTCCCTCACCCTCGATCCCTCCCTCCACCCTTCGCTCGACCCCTCGCTCGACTCCTCGCCCCCTCGACCCCTCCCTCGACCCCTCCCTCGACCCCTCCCTCGACCCCGCCCTCGACCCTTCTCCCTCGACCCCTCCCTCGACCCCTCCCTCGACCTCCCGCGCGGCGGGCCCGAGGCCCGCAGGGAGGGGGGGGCGGCCCCGCGGCAGCCGCGGCCCCTCGGCGGCCCTCCCCGGCGGCCCCCGCCGCCGCGCGCCGCGCCGCGCCGCGGGGCCCCCGCGCGGCGCCCCCTTCGCGCGGCAGGGGGGGCCCCTCGCGCAGGAGGGCGCCCGCGGAGGAGGAGTCGGGCACCCGGACCTCCTCGCGTCGTGGAGAACTCACCCGGCAGTGCCGTTGTTTGTACATGTCAGGGGGGGAAAAAACACACAGACACAATTATTCGTCGATCCCTACAAACAAATGCGAAAATATGGGAAGTGGGGGGGAAGACAGAAACCCAGAAAATATGGGAAAATATGGAGGATATTTTTATTTGTGTGTATTTATTTGTGTGTCACAGGGCCCCTTCAACATGCTCCGCGTGCGGATCATGCATTAGCAATGCAGGGATTTAGCATTCAACTTTATTCATATATGAATCATGCATGAGGAAATTTTGTATTTTACAAAAAATCCCATGTATAAAAAGACTGCCCTGTAGGCCTCCTGGAGCAGATTTAAGTGCACCCAGCAGACCTCCTCGCGTCGTGGGGAAATCACCTTAGGCCTCCTGGAGCAGACTGAAGTCGGGCCTGTCCCTCTGCAGGAGGAGAAGTCGGGCACCCAGACCTCCGCGCGTCGTGGAGAGATCGCCCTGGTCGTGGGTGGACAGACCTCCTACCCTGACACGTCGATTAGCGAATCGGCCGTTTTCGGTTCGCGAGAGGGCGTCGCGGCCGTCTTTTTTTGCGGGTCCAGGTCCGCCGGTTTCGGTCCCAGGCCGTTTTCACTAAAGGGAGGTTTTTTTAAAGGGAGCTTTTTCCACCGCCGACCTAGGCCTCCTGGAGCAGATTTAAGTCGGGCTTGTCCCTCTACGGGAGGAAAATTCAAAAATAGTCCAAAAATGCTCAGGGGACTATTGGTTGATTATCTTTTGTCTGTTGGGGGATATGTTCTGAGTGTTTTTTATTTGTCGCCCAAAATCCGCCTGTAGGGGGACACGCCCGACCTAAGAGTAGATGGGGTCGGAGGATCGCGCCGCATCGCTGATGCATCGACGATGCGGCTCGATGCGGAGACCGTGTTTCCCAACGCCGACGTCGCCGATGCGTCGCCGACGTCGCCGATGCATCGCCGATGCATCGGCGATGCATTGGCGATGCATTGGCGATGCGGCGCGATCCTTCGACCCCATCTACTCGGACCCCATCTGGGAGGCCTCTAGGTGTGAAGAAGCCACGACGGGAGGTTTGTCGCCGTGCTCGGGTCCTGGGGGCCCTTTCCCGAGCCTCGGGGCCGTCGAAAAACGACTCGGGATGAGAAACCGGTCCCGGGGGAGGGGTTCGGACCCTGGGGTCGGTGGCGGAAAAGAGGGAGGTGATGACTAGGGGGGGGGATATCATGGCGGGGGCCATGATATTTCCCCAGCTGTCATGGCGCCTCTTATTATTTCATTACGTCCCTGGCCCCCCCGCTGGGCCGCGCACATGCCGCCGGTCATGATTTGCACCCCCCCTCTTGGACACCCCCCTCTTGGCCGCTCCCGAGTCATGAAAACATCACGACGTCGGGTGTCTGGGCCCTGGGATCCTGGCGACTCCCTCTACAGAGGGATATTCGAACAGGTTCAAAAACAGAATATCTCGATGATTGTTCTGAAAGTTCTGTTGGTTGTTGATAATTTTGGTTTCTAGTCATTTCTGGTTAACAATAGAATACTTCCAAACTCAGCCTGTAGGAGGACATGCCCGACCTTACACTAAGAGTCGGGCATGTCCCTTTACAGGAGGAGTATTAACCATAGTAAACATAGTATGGGGATGATTGTTCGATGATTGGTATGAATATGTTAGAAAATGTTTTGACAATGCTCCGTTTTCCTGTATGAATTGCCTGTAGGAAGGCATGCCCAAACTAACACTAAAGGTAAGTCGGGCAGGTCACTCCCCAGGAGGAGCATTCGAAAATAGTATGAACATCATCCTGGGCGATGTTTTTTTCAACTTCGCACAATGTTTCGGTATTGTTCGGACTTCTGTTCATGTTTCTTTCAAAACCCGTCCGTAGGAGGACATGCCCGACCTACGGTCGAGAGAAACAATTACTGGACACTCCCCCTCCCCCCCAAACTCAATGTTGGCAAGCGCGGGGGCGCGGGGGAGACTGCGGTCGAAGTGCATCTCATCAGACCCAACGCCAACCTTGAACGTTGGGGGGAGGGGGGGGGCGTTGACGGATGAATGTGGCATGAGGGTTCGCTAATTTGTCCCGAAGCCTGTAACAGTAAGTCAGAGCCCCGAATCATCAGGGGTAACTCGGGTCAGGGCTAACTCGGGTTCCTTTTTCGGGAATCCAAGCCCGAGTTACCCCGGACCCGAGTTACCCCGGATAATTCGGGCGTCCAGAGCCCCGAATCATCAGGGGTAATTCGGGTCGGGGCTAACTCGGGTTCCTTTTTTCGGGAATCCAAACCCGAATTACCCCGGACCCGAGTTACCCTGGAGAACTCGGGCGCTCAGAGCCCCGAATCATCAGGGGTAACTCGGGTCGGGGCTAACTCGGGTTCCTTTTTCGGGAATCCAAACCCGAGTTACCCCGGACCCGAGTTACCCCGGACCCGATTTACCCCGGATAACTCGGCGTCCAGATCCCCGACTCATCAGGGGTACTCGGTCGGGCTACCTCGGTTCCTTTTTGGGGAATCCCAAACCCGAGTTAACCAACCCCGGACCCGAGTACCCCGGAAACTCGTGGCGCCACGAGCCCCGCATCATCAGGGGCAACTCGGTTCGTTTTTCGAGGGCTAACTCGGTTCCTTTTTCGGGAACCAAACCCGAGTTACCCCGGACACGAGTTACCCCGGACCCGAGTTACCCCGGATAACTCGGGCGTCCAGAGCCCCGAATCATCAGGGGTAACTCGGGTCGGGGCTAACTCGGGTTCCTTTTTCGGGAATCCAAGCCCGAGTTACCCCGGACCCGAGTTACCCCAGAGAACTCGGGCGCCCAGAGCCCCGAATCATCAGGGGCAACTCGGGTCGGGGCTAACTCGGGTTCCTTTTTCGGGAATCCAAACCCGAGTTACCCCGGACCCGAGTTACCCCGGACCCGAGTTACCCCGGATAATGGAGGCATATGATTAAAAAAATACCCCACCCCCCCTCCCCCGGGGGGCCCTATCCGTGAAGAGTTGGGCGTACTACTAGAATCTGGGGGCCGAAACTGATTTTTTAATCGTCCCCCCCCAGCAACTTTAATCGTCCCCTCCCCTTTCCCCCTGAAGATTCTCGATTTTTCCAAGGAGGAGGAAGGGAGGAAGGAGGGAGGAGGGACGGAGGAGGGAGGAGGGAGGGAGGATGGAGGAGGGAGGAGGGAGGGAGGAGGGAGGAGGGAGGGAGGGAGGAGGGAGGAGGGAGGAGGGAGGGAGGGGGGAGGGGGGAGGGAGGCGAGGCAGGGCGGGAGGAGGGAGGTGGGAGGGAGGAGGGAGGAGGGAGGAGGGCTGGGGCCCGAAACTGATTTTTTAATCGTTCCCCCCTTTCTCCTTCCCTCCAGCGTTTGTTTGTTCGCTCGTCGCGTGGACACATACTGTGATGGCCACAAAAAACAATTCAAGTGATTCGCTCCCGCCCAAGTGGTGTCGCGCGTCCGTGCGGTCGCCTGCGGCGTCGTGTTATGTTGCTGCGTCGTGCCGCGTGGTGCAGTGCCGTGTCGTGCAGGATGCCCCGTGCTGCGCCGCGCCGTGTCATCATC